TCCTGCTGTTTTCTGATGTCATGAAAAGGAGACGACCGAGGAATTTCCCTCCGGGACCTTTGATCCTACCCTTCCTGGGCAACCTACTCCACATGGATGTCAAACGGCCTCTTATCGCCATTGAGAAGGTAAGCGGGGGAGGGGAGCAAGCACAGGGAGTGCTGTCTGCAAGAGTGCTGGAGACATGGCCTGCCCGAGCCATTTTGGCACCTCGGGCCCAGGCACACGGTGCCACAACAGGGAGCACATTGCGTGCACGGGCCCACCCCTGAGGCCTTCCCCCGGTGCGCACGGCGCATGCCCTGCCCGGCCTAGGCCCATCGCTGGGGTGCATGGTGCATGCGCTGCTCAGCGCGGCCCGCTCACCACTGCTGGTGCGCAGTGCCTAGCCGTGCAGGGCCCTGCGGCCGTGGGGGGAAAGGCGCTGGAGTCCGGCGCCGCGGGGATGGGCGGGGGGGGCAGCTTTGTGGTAGCTGGGTGTATGGCACCTGATGGCAGCTATAAGAGATGACGCACGCCCCTTACGTCTGCCATCAGGCGCCCCCATCGTTTAGCGCTCTGGGCAGCTACCAGGCTTGCCCACCCCTTAGTTTGGTGGGAGACGAGCGAGCACAAGGAGCGCTGTCTGCAACAGTGCTGGAGACAGTGGGTCAGACCCTCCGCTGCACCTGAGGAATGTATGGCACAGCTCATGGCAGCAGCTTTCTGCACTGCCAGGATCTCAGGGTTCTTCTGAATTGCACCAGTTACTAGCTGTCCCATGTGCAGTTCCAGACACCTGCTATCCAGGATCACCAGAGCACGGGGACACCTCTGGCCATGCTCCTTTTCCCTCTGTCATGTGCAGAAGGTGAGGGCCCCAGTTGTGGATTCCTTTCCATGGGTGGGTATTTAATGAATCACGTAGTCCATAGAATTTTTATCAACGACGTGATTACTCGACGGGGGAAGGCGTTTAGTCCTGGCTTGTACCAGGTCTGGGAGCTAATCCCACTCAGCAGCTCTGCAGTTGATTTGTAGTAAGAGCCGGGTGGGCTCCTATACATTTAAACTGCAGAGCAACAGCAGGGTTTGCTCCTGGTGCCAGTGTGAGCCGGGACTGAGCTGGGCTTCCTCATGCTGGATCCAGGAGTCTCAGCCTGCTGGGTGTCCCAGTGGGGAGCTCGGCCCACCATGGGCAGAGCCTGCTTCGCAGAAGCCTCCCTTTTCCTCTCCCTCTCCTCCATCCCCTGCGCTTCTGCCTCTGATAGACGGAGTGGGGAGGGGGAAGGAAATGCAGCGGAGACAGTGCTCAGTGGTTAGGAGGCAGTCAGTGGGGAGTTGTGACTATACAGGAGGCTTGCACTGTGTGCAGGAGGTTGGGCACTTTGATGAGCAGGCCCGTAAACATTTACCATGTGAAAAGAGGCTCAGAAAAAGTAACCAAGTATAGGGTAGACTGAGACTTGGAAGGGATCCGTGTACGGTATGAGGTTGGTGCTCATCAGGGTTGGAAGATCTCACAAGGAACTAGATGGGGCAGGAGCTTGCAAGAATGACAAGGAGTCTTCAGTGACAATGCGAAACAGCTTGCAGTAATTTACAATTAAGAGTCAGTAAAAACTTGTAAGGCACATAGGGAGTTGGGCCACAGGTAGAACCGCGCTGGCAAGTGAGGAAGGATGTGATGGAGAGGTGAAGTAATCAGAGTTACAAAGTAAATTATGAAGCCTAAAGGAGTTTAGAACATTATTTGTGAGTGTCATCTCCTTTCAAGCACTAGGATGGGTTCCCTTCACATAAACTCTGTGGAAGTCAGCAATTTGTTTTGTGCAGCTTTCAGCCACACCCTCTGAGTGCCCCAGGGAGCTAGGTAGTGTATTGTGAGGTGGGTGTAGGCTTCTGACGGAACTAGAGGGTGTTTTGTTTAAACCAGTATGTTTGAGTTTTTTCACTATATCGGCACAAAGTATCTGCAGTCTATAATGCGACCAGTCAGGAACATGTCTGCTCTGCTTACCACAGAGTACGCCAGTTGTAAATAGCTATTATTTATTAAAAAAAAAAACTCTTAAAAAACAATGTATAGTCTAGTACCAACTTAAAGACAAAACATGTAGATGGTATCATGAGCTTTCGTGGCTCTGACCCATTTCTTCAGTTGAAACATTATTATTAATTTATTTTATTTACAGAAAGGCCTGTTTTATTTTGACATCCCATAGGAAACACCACAGGGCAGTCATTGTCCTTAGATATGCTTATTTTACTGTTGTCTCATTCCCCTCCCCATATCTATAAAGATTTTAATTTCTATGCTTCATTCCCCTGTTCTGTCCTATTGTGAGCTCTCTCGGGCTGGCTTTTGAATCATGCTTGAACAGTCAGGCCCTTCCTTGCTATTGTAATACAAATTAGTAGGAGTAGCAGTACAATAATAAAAGTAAGAAGTCATCACACCAGTCAGGAACATGTCTGCTCTGCTTACCACAGAGTACGCCAGTTGTAAATAGCTATTATTTATTAAAAAAAAAAACTCTTAAAAAACAATGTATAGTCTAGTACCAACTTAAAGACAAAACATGTAGATGGTATCATGAGCTTTCGTGGCTCTGACCCATTTCTTCAGTTGAAACATTATTATTAATTTATTTTATTTACAGAAATTAACAAAACATGTAGACGGTATCATGAGCTTTCATGGGCACAACTTACTTCTTCGAATGACACATTATTATTATTATCATTTATTACTTATTTATTACTATTTACCAGTATGTCTGTCCTGTTGTAAGCGCTCAGGCGCTGGCTTTAGAATCAGTGCTTGAACAGCCAGGCTCTTCCTTGCTATTGTAATACCAAATAGTAGGAGTAGCAGTACAATAATAAAAGTAAGAAGTCATCACCTGAGCTCTAGTTCTGGTTATCATACTAAATACACATGAATTAATGCACATGCTCTAATTTTTCCAGCTTGCTGAAAAATATGGCAACATTTTCAGCACGCAGATGGGTAGCATGACACTTGTTTTTGTAAATGGATTCCAACTGGTGAAGGAAGTGCTTGTCCATCAGGGCGATGACTTTCTTGATCGACCACAATTTCCTGTTATCCATGAATTCTTCAAGACATTTGGTGAGTTTTCTTCCAGTATTTCTCACGTACCGTTTCTAAAAATGAAGGCCCTGATTCTGCAAATGGGTTACACTTTATGTGTATGAACTGAAGTCCATGCTACGGTAATATCTTAGGACCAGATCCTCAAAGGTGTTTAGGTGTCTATCACAGGGTTGATATGCTCTTTTGGGGTTGGGATCAGGCTGCGTTATAGCCTGTGCTTGCCTCTCTAGGGATGCCCCCAGTCTCGGGGTTGCATGGCCCTGTTGTCTAAGTCAGTGATACGATGCCTGCAATAAGGGCAGCCAGAGTCAATCATATGGACCCCTGCCATCAGGACAGTGCAGCATAGAGACCAGAATCAATACTGTTAGTAAGCCAGACCACGAGTTTCGAGGTGGGAATCATGCCTGCCCTCTCCACCAGATTCTGAACCCAAGACAGGTTTCCTACCAAACCTCACTGAGCTTGTCTCTAGTTCTTCATCACCATGTTTCCCTGGTTACCTTCTACCCAACTCTTTGCAGTTCACTATTTCTGGGTCTCCACAGTAACACCCTTCTCTGTGGCATCTCAAGTCTGTGTATAGGGGTCCATCTCCGGCTGTCTAGACTCCACATCCTGCACTGAGGGCAGCTCTCCCACAGGAGTCAAGAGGACACCTCCTTCCTCATCAGCCCAGACTGCGCTGTTCTGCTGCCTTTTATATCCTTTCTCCAGCTGGAGCATGCCCAGTGGAGCTGAGGGGGTGTGGCCTCCTCAGCCAAGAGAGAAAAGTTAACCCCTGTTATACCAGTGCAAGGTTTATATACCCCATCCCAGTGCCTGACTACTAGAGGAATCAATTGGAGTTGGACACCTAAATACCTTTGAGAATCTGGGCCTTAATAACTTGACTCGATTTTGCAAATATTTACACATGTTCTCATGTCTCTGTAGTGGGGCACTATTTGAAAACATGGGAAGCCTTGTGGGAGGGATGACTGGATCCATGTTCAACTGGTCACTGGGGACAAATAATGACTAAAGGGTGAGAGGTGCTGGTCACAATGTCAAAACAAGGGAACCAGATGGGAACACTGAGCAAAGAACCTTGGACAGCACCCCCTGCTCCTCAAAGTTGTCGATGGAGCCAGTGAACTCTGCCCGGTTGCGTGAAATCAAGGAGGAACAAAAGTAGGCCCCACAGTCGCAGAGCATCCTCTCGTCCAGCATCCTCCTCCTGGTGGTGTAGATGGCGGCTTTTGCCAGGGCCAGAGAAGGTTGACAAGGAGGTCCCGCGACTTTGAGGGATGGGATGTGCATAAATAAAAATATGAAGAGGAGTGGGGAGAAGTGCAGCCAGAACCTCAGTAAGAGTTTCTGGAGGAGCCGGAACAGGTTCTGCAACCTGGCACATTCCAGATACACATGCCACAAAAGGGGCAGGTATCTGGGTTAGGGGTGAATCACATCAAGTATACGCCCATGCTCACAGCTCTTTGAAGGAGCCTCCAACTGATGTCCCTGATGGGCTGCGGTTAGGGTGGAATATACGCTGGTGCATCGAGGTTCCCCACCCTCCACAGGTCTTAAATAGTTCCGCCATTTGATGTCAGGGAGGGACACGGTGTCAGGGTGAGGAAATGCAGAGTGTGGAGCACAAGCGTCTATAGATTGTTCTCTTGGCACGGCTCAGAAGCAGACCAGCTACAAATCTTGCAGCCGTGTTGGGGTCCAGGGATGGGGTGGCCAGGGGGGCCCGCAGAACAGGGGCCCGATAACGATAGATGGATGGTTTGCAGGAAGGGAGGGGCGGGGCGTACCTTCTCGCAGGGCTCGCTGCAGGAAGTCAAGAGCAGGCCACGACAAAATCGCCTCCACCCCCTGGAGTAGCCACAGGGGGAGTGGAGGGATGGAGAGCCCCATGCACTGAGCGAGCGCTCGAGGATCCACCCAGTCCCCCCCATTGTAGTCCAGGAGGTCTCTGACCTTGGTGGTTTCTGCCAGGATCAGCCTCGAGCACACCGAAGGAGACTCTGCCACCTGCACACACAAGGCTGGATTGTGGAGCAGGGGCTCCGCAAGGAGGTCTATTCCTTCTGAGGCCACAATGGACCTCGCTGCCGAGAACAGCTTCCAGGTATGGAGGAGTTCCTGGTAGAATTCCAGAAGCTCTGAAAGGTCTCGCAGAAGACCCCCCTCCCCGGGTGAATAAAAAAGAGCAGCCGGTCATATCGGAGCCCTCGGCGGCAGCGGAGGAAGGTGCACCCCAAAGTGATCCATGCCGGACTACCTGCACTAAAGAGGAGTCTCTGCAGGACCTGGAGACAGAAACTGCTACAGCAGCTGGGCATCCAGCTCCAGCAGCTCCAGGAGCTCTGACGGCAGGATCTCCAGCAGCTGACTGGCCCCTTTGGATCATCGAGGGTTGGGGGGGA